TGATCTTGAGTAGGTCTTTGCCCCATCTGTGCCAGATGTTGATCTTGGTTAGGTCCTGTGCAGGTACGCACATATGCTGTGAGCTCATGAGTATGATAGGTGTTTCCTGTCCAGAAGACAGCACCCCTCCCCATCCTTTTATTTTCATATTCTTTCCACCTTCTTTTTTGCACTATTCCCAGTCTTGGCTTGGGGGATTGTCCTGTTTAGAACTGAGCACTCAGTCTCTTATTCTCAGGGCTCTGACCAGTTTTACATTTCTCCACTGACTACTGTCTACTGCAGATAGAAGATTCTCTGATGACTGCTGAGACCAGCCCAGGTCTTTGGGTATAAACATAACTGTTTAGAAGGTTACAGATATAATGAACATTAGCAAAACAGGTCTGCCCTCCAATCTGTGGCCTGCCGAGCTGTGCTGTCTAGTTTTAGGTCAACTTGACACAAGGTATATTCATCAAGGAGGAGGGAGCATCAATTGAGAAAATGCCTCTAGAATTCAGGGCTGTGTGCAAGCCTGTAGTGAATTTTCTTAATTAGCTATTGTAGCATGGATAATAAAAACCTAGAAACAGATACAGGGGTTAAAGCTGAAGATGAGAGAAGCAGAGCAGTAAGCCACTAGAGAGATCTTTTACCTCTATCAGTGCTCAGACCAAAAGGGGCGATCCTCAGACTGCCTGGAGTGTACTGTGTCTCCACACTCCAGTGTCTTCCTGTCTCTTCCCCTATGTCGGCTCAACTATATCCCTTCCTGTCTCCACCTCCCTAGTGCCGGGATTAAAGGTGTATGACTTCCAAACACTGGGATCAAAGGAGTGAGATTAAAGCCACCACTACCTGGATCTGTTTCTGGATTGATCTTGTGTAGCCCAGGGTAGCCTTGAACTCACAGAGATTTGTGTATCTCTGTCTCCTGAGTCCTAGAATTAAAGGTGCATGCCACCACTCCCTGACTTCTAGTGGCTTAGCTTTGCATTCTGATCTTCAGGCTCTATTTATTTATTTATTTATTTATTTATTTTGGTTTTTCAAGAGAGGGTTTCTCTGTAGCTTTGGAGCGTGTCCTGGAACTAGCTCTTGTAGAACAGGTTGGCCTCAAACTCACAGAGATTCGTCTGCCTCTGCCTCCTGAGTGCTGGGATTAAAGGCGAGCGCCACCGCCGCCTGGGTAGGCTTTATTTATTAAAATACATATAAAACATCACCACAAGCTATTGATGGAGGAGGGCCCAGCTCACTGTAAGTGGTGTCAACTATAGGCTAGTGGTCTTGGGTTCTATAAGAAAGAAGGTTGAGGAAGCCGTGAAGAGCAAGTCAGTAAGCAGCACTCTCTGTCATGGCCTGTGTATCAGTTCCTGCCTCTGAGTTTCTGCTCTGTTTGAGTTCCTGTTCTGAGTTCCTTCAGTGATAAACAGTGATGTGGAAGCATAAGCCAAATAAACCATTTCCTCCCCAAGTTGCTTTGGTCATGTGTTTCATCGCAGCAATAGAAACCCTAACTAAGATACCAACCAAAAGTTTTTGATCAGGATTGTAGTACCAGGCACTGAATTTCCTTCTCTGTACAGGCCTCAGGTCCAATCAGAAAGAGGTTAGTTAGCCCATGGCAGTCAGGCTACAATTGCAGCAGTGGGACATGCTAACTTTATCTTCATTAACACTGATTTTTTTTAAAGCTTTTTAAAGCTAACTCATTGTTAATTCACTATAAAGTCTTTGACATAGAGATTTTTTTTCTTTGCAGCTACTGCTGAATCTGGACTTCATAGAACTTCTTCTCTAGAATTCACTCATATGTGAAGTCAGAGTCTTCCTAACGGACCTATCAGAAGAATGTGTAGATATCTTAATATACACACACACACATATACACACACATAATTTAAAATATAATATTTTACCTTTAATATGTTATTTAACTGTTCATAAAACATTTTTATTATTTTCCAATATGTGTAAAACATTAAAGAATATTTTGCATCAGAGATTGGTAGTAAAAATTAAATATTTTAAACTGTTTTTGGTATTTGTAACTAATTTTTAAGTATATATTTCAAGTTAACACATGTACCATGGAATTTTATGCACTCAGGCTTCTGCAGTGCTAATTGTCACAGTGGCACACAGAGAAAAAATTGTTAATGCTTTAGTGGGATTAAATGTCACCTTAGTGAAGACTTATTTGCCAATTTTTATCAACCCATGGATATATACTAATATATATTTTAAATACCATCATATATAGTTTAAATATCATCCTGATATACTGGTATCATAGCCATTGTCAGCACATTTTAATCCAACTTAACAAAATCAAGGATAAAGGGGAGACATCGCAGCAGACACTGTGAAAATTCAGAAAGTCATAATGACTTGCTTTTAAAATCTTTATTCCCCCGAACCAGAGCATCTGACAGAGATGGACCAATGTCTAGCTATATATGGGATACCAAAGCTGAATCAAGATGAAAAGCAATAATTTAAATAGACACATCGCACCCAATGGATTGCAAGAGGTAATTAAAAATCTTCCAACAAAAAAATGTCCAGGGCCAGATGGAGTCAACATGAAATTATACCACATATTCAAAGTAGAGTTAACACTAGTACTCCTTAAGGTATTCCATGAAGCAGAAAATAAAGAACATTTCCAAATTCTCCTTTTAAAAGCTAGTTTTACTCTATTACCAAACCAGACAAATACCCTATGGGAAAAAAGAGTATTATCTTTTGTCTACTAGAGACATCTAATACCTCTAATGAACATGGATGCACGAACTTTCAGGATTGGGGTCACCCAAGTCCCTCACCTACGGGGACCACAGCTTCCTCTCAGATCGTCAGGTCTTCTTGCCTTTCAGATTCACCCCCATCCCGGTCTGCTTGCAGCAGGGACTCTGGCTATCACAGCTAGTGCACGCCAGTTAGGCTATCAGTGCTCTCTTTCTCCTCCTCCTTTCCGGTCACCAGGTACTGTGACTATTTGCCAGGTACCACGACCTCCTTTGAGTACTTCCCCTCCCTCTGGGAGCAGCCTGCTCCCAGACCATCCACTACCAGGGACACTCCAGTTTCCACCCTTGGCATGGACCCTGCCTACCTCATTTCCTGTCACAGCTCCACCCATTAGGTCAGGCCTTGCCCTGCAGCTACTTGCAAGGGCCCCACCCTCTGTCGGACTCACCAGACGCACGTCCACTTCTTACAGGGACCCTCAAGCCACCACATGTGAAAAAAGGACCCAAAGCCTCATCTGCTGTCTGACTGGGGCCCTTTAATTGCAGACCTGTGGCCAGCCCACACTGCCAGGGAAGACTGTTTAAGGCTTCTTAACCAAAGTGCACAAGGCACCAGACTGCAGCAGAGAACAGAAGACATGAAATAGAGGCAGTTGCCCTGAACACCATGATAAACAGAGCAATCCTGGTATGAGTTAGACTCCTCCTGAGCACGGCAAACACCACTGCTGAAAGAAGAAAGGTGACTTGAACAAAAAAGAGAAAATTCAACCAAGAAACTAGAAAGTTGTACAAATCCTTAAGCAGAAATAAAAACATGGAAAAATAGTCACCTCTAAAAATGCAAGTCCCATAGTAATGATCCAAATAAAAGTGACGTGAAGGAACTCCCAGACAAAGAATTCAAAAGTATGATTCTAACCGGGGTCCAACAATTCACAGATAACAAAGGGCTAAATGACATAAGTTGATCCAATACATGAAAATAAAGTTTGAAATTTTAATGAAAACCCTTAACTGAAATAGTGTTGGAAATCTAATACTCAATAAACCAATTACAGACCTCAGTGGAAAGCCTTAAGAAAATCGCTCATATGAAAAACAGAGTTGGAAATGGAAGACAAAATTGATGAACTGGCTCATTCTGTAAATATCAATGAGAAACTTTTAAAAACATGAATGGAATGTGGGAGAGTCTGGAGACATCAGGATAAGGCTGGAGACCCAGCCCTGCCAACTGCCTGGGTGATTGGCACCAAAGAAAGACAAGAAAACCACCATGAAGACATCCCCAGAGACAGAGATGCCCACCCATGTGCAGGAAGCCTACCGAGCACCAAATCTACAGGACTAGAAAGGAACTCCCTTGACATGCTATATTTCAAACATTAAAAACACAGGATACAGAAAGAGAATTGAAAGCTACAGGGGAAAAGGTCAGGTCACTTAAAAAGGCTGGACTGTTTGGAACAACACCTGGTTATTCGGTGGAAAACTTAAAAGCCAGAGGGTTCAGGAAATATTCATCCCAGGTTGTAAAAGACCACACTGTCACCCTTAGCAAAAGTCTCTGAAAGTTGAAGGAGAAACAAAAACTTAAGAGCAGTGTAAGTGGAAATTGTTTTTGTTCATTTCCTGGCCACCCAACCCGAATAATCACACAGAAACTATATTAATTACAACACTGCTTGGCCTATTAGCAGATAAGGAATTTGCTACAACTAAGCCAACTACAGAGGGTGCCAGAAGGAGCACTTAAGTCTGAAGAGAAGGATAAATACCCAAGAGTCACAGAAAAGAAATAAACAATGCCATAACAGGGAATCAAAGAGATATGAGAAACACCACAACATTAACAAAGTTATAGAAGTTGACTTTGATTTTCAATATCTGTGAATGTTAATGGTCTCAATTCCGTATAAAAAAGAGAGAAAAAGATGAGGTCAGAAAAGAGGATGCATTTTTTTCTGCCTCTGAGAAACATGTCTTATATCAAAATAGACATCACCTTAGAGTAAAAGATGTAAAAACGAAATGTAACTAAAAACTAAACATATTCCAATATTTGAAAAAAACAGATTTAAAATCAAAATTAATCAAAAGAGGTAAGGAAGGATACTCCACTCTCATTAAAGAAAAAAAATCTATCAACAGGATTCTATAGTCCTAAACACATACACATCAAACACAAGGGCACCCACTTCATAAAAGAAAGATTGTTAGATCTAAAACCACAGAGGAGGTCCAACGAAGTGAGAGTGGGTGCTTTCAATACCCCATTCACACCAATAGTCAAGTGCAGAGGTTTGTATAAGAAGTGTTCCCCATCGTTCCCAGTATTTTATGTCCCAATTGGTGGCACTGTTTGGGGAGAGGTCTAGTGGGAGCCAAGAGCTTCAGGTCTCTCCCACATTTGTATTTGTATGCAGGATTGTCTCAGGTATACTCTGTTTATTTCCAATCTTTCTTTCCTATGTTATTCTCTATGCTGCTAGCTCTAGTACTTACTCAGTAATCACAACGTCTCAGTCTTCCTTGCTGAGCTGAATTTCTGCTAAGGTATTACGAGGCTCAACCCCCTCGTGTAAGTTCCTGCAGTACAGGGCACTAGCTTAGAATAGTGATCGTGTGGCCAGCTCCTGTCTTCTCTGTGTGCTGAGTGTCAAGAAATAATTTGGTAGGTCAGGTTATAAATTGACAATTTTTTATAGTGTTGCTTGGCAGCGGTGGCACATGCCTTTAATCCCGGCACTCCAGAGGCAGAGGCTGGAGGATCTCTGGGAGTTTGAGGCCAGCCTGATCAACAGAGCAATTTTCAGGACAGCCAGGGCTACACCGAGAAATTCTGCCTCAAAACCAAAAAGAAAACAAGACAAAACAACAACAACAACAACAACAACAACAAAAAAACCACCACCACCAACAACAACAGCAAAACTATAAATACTGCCAAAACTGAAAACTCCTAGAAAGAAACTGTGTCTGCAGAGACTGATTATAATTTCAATCCCGGGAGGATTGGACCGCTAGGGGCCCTGAGGCTATTGACCTTATTTTGGGCTGGTTTTAATTCTCAGGTCAGCCATTCCTTGACCACCTCTGTGTGAGAACTAAAATCTTGTGGGGAACACACAAAAGCTTTTGGAATCTATTGGCTTAGCCAAAGCACTGGCTCCCACCAACCCAAAAGCAAGAATGTCATCAGATGGCATTTTAGGCCTGTAGCAAAGCCTCCCCTTCTCGCTGTAACCCTCTCTAAAGTCCCCTCTAATTCATTTTAAATTTGTCTCGGTTTATGACTTTTCTGGTCTGTAAAACTATAAACCTCCATAAAACTTCCTCCACATTAGAGCATGGAGTTGGGGAAGTCTGAATCTGTGTCCTCAGCCATGCTCACCCAAATGGCTCAGGAACAAAATATCTCTTATTCTCTTTAAGACGGGAGATCTGCTGCTTCTGTAGACAGTACTGTTATTTTTTTACTTGCATTAGTAAGTGTAATGGTCTCATGCCTCTGCGTAGTTATACTGTGCAAGGCGCCTTTCCCGTATTTGTTAACGTGAGATGCAGAATGGTATCTGAGCTCCGTTTTAAACCGTATTTCCCTCGGCTGGTGTAAGTTGACTGCTTTTCACATTCCTTTACTGTGAGGTCAGCGAAAAGAAAAGACAATCAAGGAAATGAGTGGCTCTACCAGCACAGGTTTACCCTGGAGGGGTGCACCTGTCTGCCTATAGGCTGGGGGAGTTAGGGGGAAAGCCTTGGCAGATGGAAGGGAGCTGGGATGTTTCCTGTTTTGCTCTAGGTTGGCCAGTGCTAGGGAGTTATGCCCAAGTTATTAATTCCCAAATGAATTCATGCAGCCCGGTTTCTGATGCAAATTACACGAGGGTCCTTATTTTACAAACCCGAGTTTAGACCACCCCTTTCTAGCACCCCAGCATTGTGGAGGAGGAAAGTGTGTGATGGTGAGTCAGGGGAGGGGAGAACTTTTAAAGGGGAACTGGCGTAATCAGGGGAGTTCATGTCCTGCTGTCTTGGGATTGGGTAAGGAGGGCATAGGGTAAGGTAGTTTCTGAAACCACTGGCCAGTTTGGGGACATGAAACACTAACAAAGAGCCTCCTAGGAACATCTGGATCTCATTAAATTTTATGGTCCTGGTCCCTAGCTCCTTAATTGGCTATTTATAGGGTATCTGTTCAAATTCCACTTTTGCAACATATTTCTGGAGCTGAGATTGCCCCTCTCCCCCACTCTATGGCTTAAAATGGAGCCCTTTCTTTAAAATGGAGTTTGCAAAGTCAGGTCCTCACAAGGGGCAATGAGGTAATGGTGAGTTAAAGAATTTTAAGTGATCCATAAACATTTCTAATCTACACTCTTTACATTTTACCATTTTCTCTTGCATTATAGGGTTTTCTCCCTCAGTTCATCTGAGGTGTTTTGTATATTAAGG